TGAGCAAAAGCAATAAGCTCCTGTCTTTGGAAATGTGTTTCCCGATCCAAAGGGCAGACTCACCACACTACAGAGTCGACAGATCTTTAATAAGAAAGTTTCTGCATGAATGCCGCTATCTCGCAGTATCATTATTGCTGCTCTGCTTGAAAAGGAGAGTTTAGAAATTTAACTGACTGCACCTTATCACTATTAGAAATGCAGTACATACATTCACAAGTACACCCTTATTTCTGTCTAATTTACTTAAGTGATAAGACTAAAAACCAGTAAGGCTGTTCAGTTCTTTCTACTGTATACTTGCAAAAGAAATGCTTCTATGAGTGTGTGTCTTTGCTCTACAGTGTAGAAGTGTCAAAGTACATGCTACGACAGCTATTTTCTGTACCTCAGCCAAGAGATTAGCCTTTTGTATGTGGAAGGCAATGTGTGTTTGCTCCTTTGGCAGAGCCAGATTAGGAATAGGTTTACTGACAGAACATCGAGTTATCACTCAGGAGAGCACTTTCAAACCACCGAGCATAAAGAGACTCACACACACTTCTTTCAGGTGATGGCTATGTTTCTTCTGAGCAGCATGAGATGGAGCCTTCTTTAATTATGTCTTCAGATATGATAAAAGGATGCGCTTTTAGGTTACCGAGGATGGTTCCTCTACCACTGTCCTTAAAAATGGGATGAGTGCCACACTCCACTGGGCCCCCTTTCATTGCAGTGAAGTCCTCTTCCAGATTTTTTAAAAGATGGGCGTGAGATGTATAGTACTTTGATGAGGACTGTAAAATTGGCCACCCTTCAGTTTCTCAGGGCCTGTCTCAAAGGGACAGTAGATAAATTAATGGAAACACACACACACACACAAAAGCATGGGATTAAAGTAGAATTTTGCATCTTATAATGAATAAATTGTTTGGCAACAAAGATGTAACACTTTGTTATTCATGGGTGTACACACACACACACATATATATACAGTATATCACTATGGTCAGTTAATTCACTTGGAGAATTAAAGTAAATCCCTTTGCAAATCCTTTTTGTTGGGGTCCACTTTGGTTGACTTTCCTCAGATTTGGTCCTTTGACCAATATCAAAGTGTCCTGGCAGTGCTGACCTTTGAAGGAGCAGAGAGCTGGAGAATCAAAACAGATGAAGCTACTGTGCCTTATTAGCTGTGTTAAGACACTTTGCAGTCAGTTATGAGACAAATCCAGCCATTTGTAGCTCCCCAGCTACAGTAATCCACCAAGTAGCCCTCTCTGAGTTTGTGCACATACTGCAACAGTTCTGCCACTGTACTTTGGGTAAATTTAATGACGAAGACATTATATCAAATGACAGATTAATAGATTGACAAGTGTCACACCACACTTTGGGGGGGGGTAGCCTTTATTTATAGTAATTGACAGAGAGGTGGACAGGAACCAGACAGAGAGAGCAGGAGAGATGTATGGCAAATATCAGTGAGCTGCTGATGTCACGCACGCAGTGTGCAGCCTACAAACACAGTGCACTGCACCATAACCACTCGGCTACAGGGCGCCCACCACAAACTTTTATTTCTTGATTAAATTTTGTTTTGTCTTTAAAAAATGATCCCCCCAAAATGCTTATTGGCCATTTTATTGTGCCTACTAACATTTGTCTGTATGACATCTTCAAGGTGGCTGATTCAGTTTCACCGCTCAGTCAGGTTTGGTTTAGATAAATAATAAATCCCGGAGTCGTACGTCTACACCACTCACAATAAGAATCTGTTGATCTCTCCCTCATGTTAGCGACAGTCCAGTCACTGTTATCAACAATACTTTAGTGAAAAACAAGAAACAAAAAACGTGTCAAGCAAATCGTGTTTTCTCCTGGCATGTATGTTTGAACTAGCATTAATTAAACATAGCTATTAAGAACCACGGTTTCAGTGATGGCTTAATTTATTTACTTAGAATCTAGTTTGGGGAGAAATTGGACAGATAGGAGATGATCACAGGTGCATCATGGTCAGCTGCACAGGTAAACATGCCAATACCCTCAGCAGTTGAAGGTTGATAAGAAATGTCACCCTTTTCCCATAAATGAACTGAACAATGTAGATTCACATTGAATCCCTGCAAACACGTCAAACACTATAAACTGAGTGTTTGCTTGTCATGCTGTCTGAGACACAATGTGGTGATATTTACTTAACAAACGTGCTGCAGCATTGCACGTTTCCTCCCTGCTCATAACTGGCACATATGGAATGTCATCAACATGCATTAGTGTAAGATGTTTGTGTGTATCTGTCCAGAATTTTAATTAGAACAGTTTTAGTGGAAATGCTTAGTTTCAAGGTAATGAATCACATATTAAACAATTAACCCAATAAACTAGTTTTGCAGTTGAAAAAGAGCAACAGGGTGAGGCATTGACACCATTTGGAGTCCAGTGACCTCACCTCGCCTTTTTTCTTGGCAAGAATTGTGATGAAGATGTGTTGATCCAAACATTTCTTTTATCTGCTTCATTATTTTGTATTTCTTTATGTTTCCTGACAGGTGTTTCAAAGAGAAGGTAACTGGCATCAAAACTGCTTCATGCAGTCTCAGCGTCCTTTCTTCTTTTCCCTTGTTTGCTCCAGCTGATGAATTCTGTAAGACTCTAGAACCTCTCAAGTGTTAGAAAGACTCCACACTGCCTGCTTTTGTTTGGTTAAAAACCGTACTAGATAAGTTCTGTTCCTAAATGTCTTCTTATTAAAGGCAATGTGTTACATAATTGCGTTATCTCCTCACATACTGTGCTCTGTAGCAATAAGTCTCGGTACTACAGCTGCTAAAACACATTCAGAAACAGCTTGATAAGTTATAAGTAACAGTAATCCATTTAAAAAGACCTCGGAACACTCACACAAAGAAATACTGGAGTAAACACTGTAAATGTCTCAAATGTTAGTGGTTTGTTTCTGAGTTGTTAGATGGAAGCTGTGGTTTAAATTAAATCAAAGCTTTTTGCAAACACCGAGAGCAAGCAGTGTGAAAGTGAAGGAGTTTGAAGTGTCTTTAAAGTGTAAAAGTCTAAAGCAGTTGAAATCAGTTGAAGTGTAGTGGCTGGCAGCATTAGAAATTTTAACTAGTAGTAATAGGAGTAGGATGTTTAAGTGTCAGTTTGTATGAAAACACAAGCACTGAAAACAGTTGAACTGCCAGTTCATTTATAGAGTAAGAGAGGAAAAGCAGTTGAAATGTGATTTCAACTATGAACCATGAAAGTGATTAAACGTTTGTGCCAAGGTTAAAGTGTGTGCACTGTAAATGTTTGGACAGTGAGTTCTGATGTTAGTGTTGAACTGTCAGCTGATGATTAAAATATTTGTAGAGGCTGAAAACCACTAAACTATAAAATGCATCAAAGATAAAAGCTCTTACATGATCAGTTGGTCAACACCTTCTGGCACCTCCACTGATATTTGCAGTATACTGTATAAGACATGGGAGGATGCACAATTCAAACTAACGTGCAGTTATTCGGGTGTTACGCCTGAATCATTTGAACTTGGGTGGAGAAAGGAGTGAAACATTACAAGGGTTACTGGAACTTCATGTGTTCATATCAAAATTTCTCTGAGATTAAATGTCAGCCAAATGTTAAAGCCTCCCTCCAGTGATCTGACAAACAACTTGACATGTTCCAACAGGCTTCCCAAGTAAATCAAGGTTTTATAGGAGGCGAAAAGGGGGAAATGATATCACCAATTGAAATGGTCACAGCTGAGGGTCTCCTCTTTAAATCCCAGTCTCCCTAGCCAAACCTCATTGTGATGTGGGTTATAGCTGGTGGAGTGAAATGACCTTTTCTGAGATGGCTGCTTTCAGAGGGGCTTTGAAAATATAATATTTAATGCAATACTTAACAATAAGAATGAAAATATACTCTTTTTTTCACAGCTGCTATTTGCACCTTTACAACGTAGCCAGTAAAGCACAGATGTGGTCAATAACCTTGATGATAGCTCAGCTCAGTCGGGTGTCTACTATCCCCATTTCAACACGTCAGCATACACAGTAGCAGGACTTGCTTCGATGCATTTACTGCACCAGTGAAATGTAGTTATTAATGTTTTTACACCTTTGCTGCTTTGTGGGAGTTGTAGTCTAGATCAGAAAGTGCTATGGACCCTTTTTCCAGATAATATCACATCTTACAGTGAGAACACCAGCATCACCAGCAATTAGTTTTACAAGTGTAATTGAGAACTTGGAGGCATTAATGTCATTGAATTTTCCAGTGTGTACACCGTTTGCCCAGTACAATATAAAGTACAGAGGATAGGCTGAACACCTCATCATCCAGGAAACCAAACCATCATCCCAACTTCCTGTTTTGTTGTAGAATGGATCAGTTGCGACTGCTGGTTGATTGACTCATGCTGCTACGACCCTTTAACTCCTTGGTTTCTTGCTTTGCTTGGCTCTTAAGAGTAACCTCCTGTACTGTACGTTCCTGCTGGCCTCCTGGCTTTCAGACTTGCTCTGAACCACCAGTGCCTCCTTGCTCCCATCCAGACGTCTCGGTTTTACAGTCCACACTGTAACTCACTATACCAAAACTTGACTATGCTGCTGGTTAGCATTTCACCTAAAAGTCCACTGAGAGTAAAAGCAAGAAGTAATGGCGGTACTGTTACTTGTTCTTTAACTAACTATACTACACTGAAAACTAACACTGACTTTTAAAAATATACGCACGTCCTCTGAAGACAGCTTCACAGACCCAGAAGACAGCTAACCATAATGTCTTAGCTGCATTAGCCCAATTATAATGAGATGTTGGGAATCACGTCTCTCTTTAAGTTGAAAGCCCCTCGGTGAGAAAATAGATCCTATTTATCTTCAATTACACTCACCTCTGTGATGTTTTTCCCTTTGATCCTTCTCACTCTCACACACACCAAAACACACTTACACCATGTAATTGTCTCATTACAAGCCTGATGCATCTACTGTATATGTGTCCTATTTCAGGGATTTACTACCGCAAGTCCTGTGCTTCATCAGGAGCTTGTCTCATTGCTTCTTCTGGTTACCAGCAGTTCTGTACTGGCAAGCTCAACTCAGTGTGCATCACCTGCTGTAACACACCACTGTGTAATGGACCCCGCCAGAAGAAAAGACCCCAGCCGTCCGCTGCCATTACCCTGGCCACACAGCAGCTCCATGTGTTTTCTCTCTACATCCTTCTCCTGCTGTCCTCCACCCTGTGCTGACAGACCTTCACATGCTGAGATAAGACGTGCATTGAAGATGTTCTACCCCTAATAATGGAGAAGAAATGAACTGGAACTGTGTAAGCTGGGACACATACTTTGAAGAGTATATTCTATGAGGCGTGTAGGAAGCTTTGTACTGTGTTTTCTTTACTCCTCTGCTTTTTATGTTGCAGCTTGCCTCCAAGGTAAAAAAGCTACATTATTCATCACATGTGTGCCACAGACAGGATCATGGTGCAGATGCGATGGAAGCTGGGTGAGGTGAAGTGGAGGACAGTGCTGTGGATGATACAGCTTCTAGCTATTTATTAGACGGCAGGTGGCTTGTCCTCATTTGTCTCTATTTATTTACACTACAAGGTTAAATAAGGCATTTTGCAAGAGAGATCGGTAGATTCAGATTTATCACTGATTCTCAGAGCCTTAGGAAAAGACTGCCAGAATAGATGCTGATTTATTCTATGTGAAAACCATTCACTGTCACCACTTGTGGAGCATCAGCTGAGGAAGTTTGATGATTCTGGAAGGAGAAGCACAGTCATGAAGAATTTGATTTGATTTGATTTAATTTATTCTTTCAAGCATGTAAAGACAGTTGATATGTCAACACACATAATTTCACACATATCCAACAAATGCTAATCCAATATCAATTTGCTTATACCTAGTACATGCTTGAATGGAGTAGGAAGAAGTCAGACTTATCCAGTCCTACCCCATGACATCATCTTACCATCATTGGTTTGCAAGCAGTATCTCTACATAAATAATTATCCTCTACACCACACAAGTAATATACTAAAAAAATTATAACAGAGTGTTAACATTCTTACATAATTACATTCTTAAATAATTATCTTCTACACCACACAAGTAATATACTAAAGAATTATTACAAGGTGTTAACATTCATACACCACACCCACAATGTTCCATCTAATTAATCATTAAGCCTGTTCTTGCATATATCCTGATTGACACATACCTTTATATTTATGTTTAAACTCATCAATTCTAGTACTATTTTTT